ACACGTCCAAGCAAAACAGCTGTCAAAGATAAACTGAATATTCAAAATGGCCGAACTTGTCGGCATAAGTGAGGGACATGAGTACCAACATAACGCCACAAAAAAATCGAAAATCGAATATACGTAACCCGCGGAAATTCAAAATTCGCGATACTTTTTGAACAGACCTCGTAAATCGGTTTGTGTTAAAGAAACTAAATAATTTCATTAAAAAAAAAAAATTGACTTTGAACTGACCTTGAATTATTGACAATACAACGAAGTTAATGTTATCAAAATATGTCTTCTTCCAAGTATAACTTTTGTCTGAATCATTTCTTTCTATTTTGTATCATTTTTTTTTATATTAAGATATCTTAATTTAAATGTTCCATTCTATATATTATACAGGGCGGCACACATAAAATATTATGACCCTACAACTCTAAAAATATGTGTCGTATCAAAAAGTTCATCATGAAAAAGTTTCATGTATTTGAGAGGTCTTTCTAACGATGTAAATCAAAATTTTCCCCCGATTCTTCTGGAAGGATGACGAGGGGTAACTTTTTAATTTTAAATGGTATTTCCTATAAAATGTTACATACTTAGATTCTAGGGGAAAAACAAGTAAACTTTATTTGGAACATTTCTTTGAAAAATTCTTCTATCAAAAGTTATAAAGTACTTCTATCAAAAGTTATAAACATTAAAATTTTAAAGTAGAATATATTAAAACTGTTGTAAACATAATCATGAGACATGTCGATTGCCGTAAATAAATCACGTTCGCACGTTTCCTCAATTACGGAACGTCACCTTGCAGAAATGCAACTCTGCATTCTGGCGAATGCAATACTGAAATCAAGATGGTCAGCGTCCACACCCAGTGACGCTGACACATCAAAACTATCCCCTCTGATTGACACATAGGAAGAGGATAAAAAGGACGTGAGATCAAACTCAGGAGGCGACTCTAGACTCTCAGCTCTCGGGTACCGATACGCCGTCGGTTACTGTATCGGACGGAAAACATAATAAAGACAAATTCATCTTTGAACGAGAGATAATTGATTGTCACCACCGCCTTCCATTCTACCGCGCTGCGACGGGCATCCCACAGTACTCGCGTCGACTCAACTCACGCAACAAATTGGTGGCAGCGGTGGGATTCGCCCTCCAACAACAGCCTGCAACAGAACTAAGAGAAGGCATCTGTGAAAACGCAATCGCAAGTTGCGGACTGGTGAGCAACAAATCTTGGGACAATCAAACAAGAAGAAACACTACGTGGCAGCTCGGAAAGGACGGACGTCGAAAGTACAACCACCGATGCGGGCCAACCACGATAGCAGAGAAGGCAACGAAGCAGCAAAGGCAGCAGAAACGACCTATCTCAACGCAGCGACGAACGCTAAGCAACTCAACGCTGGACAATCGGAGCACCGATAATGAACCGTGCGAGAACGTGATAGCGTGACACGCCAACATGCGTCCAGTCGTATTAATGTAAGTCCTAATCTAACATACACAAGCGTATACACATACCTACACAAGCGAGAAACTAAACCGTCCGCTTGAATGTCCGAAGGCAGTAATATACCACGTTATCCGTGCAAAAACAGATCCTGGCTATTTAGCGAGCGGGCGGCAAATACACTAAGACAGCCAGCCGAACTAGTGAACCAAAATCTCGATAGCGTAATAAATAACACCGCACAAAGTATGTGAGAAGAATTACAAAACGCATTAACCGTCCTTGATAGTTCAAATGAAGAACAACGATACACATTGTAACTGAGCGCGAATTTCCGTTTAATGAAATCGATAACAATGTATCACCAGTTTTAACTTCACACGTTAGGAAACAAAGAAACTTGTCGAATAACAGTATCATTACTGACGTGTCAGGCAGAGGAGAATTTTCTTTAACTTCGTACGACGAGAGCGTTTTCGACCCGAACGAATTACTTGATAACTTAAATATGGACAGGCGTACAGAACAAGACGCATATTGATAGTCCCGCGATAGACGAGGAGATCAATAGATTACGAATCACCGTCGCGCATCGTACGAACGGTAGCATAGAAGAAAATCCTTTACCAAGAGGCAACAGAGAAGAAAAACGCGACCCTCTAATAGAGGCTTTACTAAGTCAAATAAAAAAACCTCACTACATACGTAACCGAACTGAACGAGAAAGTTAACATATTGCAACAAAATAACGCAGAAAGATCCACCAATCTACAAAGGCCTACTGCAACGGAACACTGGAACAGAGACAGAACATATGACCATACACATATACATGACCCCTTCTCGGAAGATAGTCTCGTATTGAATTCGTTCATATCCGACACCAACAGATAGCGGATAAAGGAAGCCAGACTTAATACCGACCTTTGATGTTTGCTCAAGTGAAGAGAGTCTCAAGGAATTTTTGTACGCTTGCAATTATGCTTACGGTCTAATACATCCTAGAAGAAATTGCATTAACTAAAGCAATAATCTGTACGAAACTAAAAAGACAGGCCATAACGGAGAGGGAGAACCGGAATATAACGACCTACCAACAATTGAAGAAAATACTAGAGATCTGCTATTCGAGAAAAAGGTCAACTACACGCTTACAACGCGAATTTAATTTCTTACGGCAGAAGCCCGGGAAAGAAGCGTGGGTCTACGAAAATAGAGTCGATAAACTAGCGACAGAATTATACGAGGCAGCCACTGACGGTACAGTATACACTCCGGGAGAAAAGAGAGCTATCCACGAATACATTAAATCACAAGCGCTAATTAATTGCCAACTTGGGCTGAATGAAAAGCTGCAAATAGTGCGATCCCGAGTTCCCACTACGCTAGCTGAAGCTATTGCCGGAGTAATGGAGGAAGAAAAGGTAAAGGGATTAAATAACCACCACAATAATCACGAAACCGCACTTCCATATAATGGTCGACCGACGACACATCCGCGCGTTCGAGAAAATTAGACCTTCCACGTGTCACAAATGCGGCAAAACAGGACATCAAGGGAAAGATTGTCGTACCAACCGTTACGCGAACCGATACACCCTACCAACAATAAGCGAACATCCTCGCGTAAACGCGACAAAAAAATATTACACATATTGCAAAAAGGTAGGGTATATTCACGAAAAATGCTGGAAACTGCATGGGAAGCCTGTCGAATACTCTACAACTAACCTTAAACGTCACGAAGGGCATCGAAACACAAACACCGCCTCGACTGATAGGCGTGGAATAAACCATGGAGACGCTCCTAACGAAAACGAAAGTAGAAACGAGAGGCACAGAAGAGACAACAGAACGCAAAGCGCTCGAGAATTCCAGATCAACCAAGTGAAAAAAAAAACTAGGCAAACACACACGGGATTTAGTAATATTCCCGATATGCGAATCCAGACAGGAAAAGGTACCGCTTTTACTTGATACCGGATCGTCAATTAGTATTATAAAAATGCGGACTTTAAAGGGAGAAGCTGCCGTAACTACGGATAAAGTAACGCTGACTGGAGTAACCGAACACCAAACGAGCACGCTAGGTAAGTTCATCGCAACTATAAAACTAGGGAGACAAGTCTTACAACATAAAATCTACGTGGTAAAAAATGATTTTCTCATCAAATATGAAGGAATATTAGGAGTCGATTTCCTGCAGCGCATAATGCGACCTGCAACTATCGAAGCAGGAAACTGAGGATTCTTGGGAACAATTTGGGTTTGTTGCCCTACCGAACATATCAGATACCTCCTTGAAGCGAAACGATAATAAAGACGACAACAAATGTAAATCAGTAAATTCAGTAGGGATCGTTACCGCTGAAGGAAGAAAACCTGGAGTTTTTATTGGAAATTGCCTAGTAACTCCAAACAATTACACATGAGCATCATAAACACTACGGAGGACACGGTCGAATTAACTACGCCGTATGTAATCTTAGAAGACGTGCCGGACCACAATGAGAAAGGAATAAATCTAATTACGAAACAGAAACATGGTAAGACACTTCAACCACGAATGGAAAGATTGAAGCAACAATTACGCCTACAACACCTAAACCATGAAAAACGAAAAACAATATACGCGATTCGTGAAGATTTCAGCGATATATTTTTTCTCGAAGGAGACTATCTCACTCATACTACAGCTGTGGAGCATCATATTGCTACTCGAGGTAATGTAACACCGGTAAACATAAAACCGTATTGTCTACCAGAGAAGCACAAGCAGGAAGTAGATCGATAAGTACGAGAAATGCTCGATGCTGATATCGTTCTTCTTAGTATCAGCCAGTGGAATGCTTCCTTATTCGCAGTGTCAAAGAAAATTCATGCGACTGGAAAAACCAAATTGCGAGTCGTAATCGATTTCAGAAAATCTAAATGATTTAACGGTTGGAGATTTCTTCCCGTTACCCAACATAAACGATATCCTTGACCAACTTGGAAACGCATAATATTTTATTATTCTAGACTTAGCGTCAGGCTATAATCAAATTTCAATGGAAAAATAGGATAAACATAAAACAGCCTTTTCGACATCTACGGGACATTTCGAATTCAATCGAATGGCATTTAGATAAAAAAATGTACCAGCAACTTTCCAGCGGCTAATGAATACCGTACTAGCTGGACTACAAGGAATAAAATGCCTGGTATATCTAGACGACATTGTCATTTATGGGTTCAGTTTAGAAAACCATAACAAGAGATTAATCTCAGTATCAAAAAAGTTGCGCCAAAGTAACTTAAAATTGCAGCCAGACAAGTGTAATATCCTACGAAAAGAAGTTACGTCCATAGGACATAATTTCAGAAAAAGGAATTTTACCGGATCCATCAAAATTAGAAGCAGTATATACAGGGTGCGGCGAAAGGTATGCCCCCATTTTGGAGAGCAATCAATAAAATACTATTAAATGTAGAGGATTGGAAATTTTTTTATTACCTTTGGTACTTCAAACAGTTTTTTTACATTAACGTTTAAAAACGATATCTGCAAGATGGCGGCCTCCAGTAGCAATGCACTGATGTAGCCGATTTTGGAAGCGTCG